GCCTAGCAGATACAGTCAGACACTTTTCCAAAGTGGTCATATTATTAATAAGGAGAATAAAGCTTAAAGAGTCAAAGCAATTTTATACACAAATACACACAGAGAAATTCTGAGACTCACAACCCACCATTGTCTTCAGAATATTCTAGATAATGCTTCACATAATCCAGGTGAAAAAATTAACATGAAATCTGAAGGACAGAAAATTAAGGACAAAAAATAAAGATGAAAGAATTCTCTATCTTGGTTTCTAAGACAGAATTCGGATAGTTCTTTACAGTTTCTGCATTTCTTTTTCCAATTACTTGGGTCCTGACACACATCTGGGAGACCCAAGAGGAGTTCCTGGCTCCTGGTTTCAGCCTTGCCCAGCCCTGGCCATTGGAGCCAATTTGGGAATGAACCAGCAGACAAAAGATCTAAAGGTCTCTTTGTCTCTCTTTCTCTGTTTCTGCCTTTCACATAAGTATATCTTTTAAAAAGAAAATTTCGGGTAATAATTTGGAGGATCGCAGATTCCTGTACTTCAGTCTGAGATTTACTAAAATCAAGTCTTAAAGCTATTCGTTGCTTCTATCCCTTCTTATAAATGACAGGAGTTGGGGTTGTGAAGCAAAATTTTTACAACAAGAAAAAAGGAGCAAAAGATCTGCATACAGTTTTAAAAGTCTATACAATTGATATTTTTGTATATTATGTGAGAAATTACCAAGGTATATATAATCATCCAACAATCAGCAACAGCTTTATTAACAGTTAAAAATATTATCTCATGATGCAGACCATCAGTGAATGTTAACACACACACACAAATATGTGCCAATGATTCCAACTGTCAGTCTCTACAAAGCAGAATATATAACTGTTGCAGTAACACACAGCCACATAATTGCCAACTGACCACAGTCATTCAAAGAAAAAGAATTTGTTCTTTTAGAGAAAATGTGTCTATAGACTTCTAATTCTAGCATACAAATGTCAAAATGTCTCCAAATTGAGATAAACCAAATAAACGATGAGTAGGTATAAAGGGCATCAGAGGATTAATTGTTTTGCTACATTTACTTGAATGGACCTTCATGACCACCCAACTGAGCAGAGTCTGAGACCACTTAATAACAACTTTCGTCTATAGCATAGGCAGAGATACAAATGGGCTTTGTGACACCTACTCAAATCTGCTATATTTCTCCCCCTTGGTTTACCTGGTTAGAATATTTTACTTTACAATTTTTTTTTTTTTTTTTTTTGGACAGGCAGAGTGGACAGTGAGAGAGAGAGAGAGAGAGAGAGAGAGAGAAAGGTCTTCCTTTGCCATTGGTTCACCCTCCAATGGCTGCCGCGGCCGGCGCACCACGCTGATCCGATGGCAGGAGCCAGGTGCTTCTCCTGGTCTCCCATGGGGTGCAGGGCCCAAGCACCTGGGCCATCCTCCACTGTACTCCCTGGCCACAGCAGAGAGCTGGCCTGGAAGAGGGGCAACCGGGACAGAATCCGGCGCCCCGACCGGGACTAGAACCCGGTGTGCTGGCGCTGCAAGGCGGAGGATTAGCCTGGTGAGCCTCGGCGCCGGCCAATTTCCAATTTCTTAAAAGAAACAACATTCTCTAAAAAGTATTAGAGGAACACCTTTTGAAATAGTCATTAAAATTCTGCTGTAAGCTGGTATTACACTAGAAGTTAAGTAAATATCGAGTCTGCTGTGGTGGCTTAGAAGGTTAAGCCGCTGCCTGCAGTGCTGGCATCCCATATAGGCACCAGTTCAAGTCCTAGCTGTTCCACTTGTGATCCAGCTCTCTGATAATGCACCTGGAAGGGCAGCGGAAGATGTCCCAAGTGCTTGGGCCCCTGCCACCCACGTGGGAGACCCAGAGGAAGCTTCTGGCTCCTGGCTTCAGCCTGGCCCAGCCCTGCAGCCATTTGGGGAGTATACCAGCATATGGAAGGCCTCTCTCTACCTCTCTCTCCTTTTCTCTTTATCTCTGCCTTTCAAATTAATAATTTTTTTCAAAGTAACAAGTCTGATTTGTTTTCTGAAAACTATTTTTTTTTTTATTCTTAGGGTTAAAGCTTGTCTACAACATGTTCCAAGATCACCCTTAACACACAGCAATGCCAACGGTAGCCAGAGTGAGGCAGTGGAAACAAATCTAAATCTTAGTGCTTGCTTTTTCATGATCAAAGTATATCTGAGTGAGGTTACAATTATTCAGGCAACTTAAGTTCAATGGCATCCAATACATTTTCACCACAACACTACCCTAATCCAGTTATTTTGATCAGTTAGCAAATATTTATGAGCAAGGAACTGCATAGCAGAGTGAAATTTCAATTTTCATGGGGGTTAAGTTCCAAAGTCAACAGGCAAGATGAAAATCAAAATGATCAAATTACCCTAGAATATCCCTGATAGTACCAACAATGTATATACATAAATATAGTTCTGTATATAAAACCACATTAAAAGTCGAGAACCTCGAGGTTAGATAAAAGGAAAGAATCAAGGCAGAATCAGTACATACATACTAGTAAAGTTCATCCTTTAAGAATTTATTTAAGTCTTAGTAAATACAGTATGGTTTCATTCTAAGGTGATCCTGAATGATGACACAGTTCACATTCTGCCTTAAAAGCAAGGCTCTATAACCTTAACACAAGATAATGGATTTGTTTAAAACAAGGTGGGAGAGGAGGGGCAGCAACTGGAACTGAGAGTGTCCCAGCTCTCAATCTGGCCGAAACGTAAATGCACCAATGCAACTTCAATATATTTGACAGGTCCAGATGTGGGATTTCAAGGAGTCTATAGCTGATATTGCATTAACATGCAAAATGTTGACTTTAAGAAATAATATACTTGCATTTCACTGATTCAGAATTATTTACAGATCATCTATTATGTGCCAGCTTTGATAAACAGTTGGTTGTTGCTCTCAAGGAGTTTACAGCTTGGAAATAAGACAATCACTAACTAACACAGCAAAACAATGTACAAGAATATAGTGGTGCAGAAAGCAAAAAATTCCTAAACTTGTTTGTAGGAGACAAAGAAAGGCTTCAAAAAGGAAATATAGCAAGAAACAAGCAGCAATCAAGAGACAACGTAGGCAGAGGGAAAATGCATAAAAATCAAGAAATATAGGTGGATTAGGCAAGTTTATCTTGTCTTATTGTACTAGAAGTAATAGTAAAATGTTTCATAATACTTCATTCTTTAAGTTCCATGTTATTTATTTGAAAGGCAAAATTAGAAAAAGAGATATTTCATTCACTGGTTTACCCCTCAACTGGTCACAATGGCTGAAGCCTGCAGCCTAGAGCCTAGAACTCCATCAGTGTCTCTAATGTGGGTGACAGGGAGCCAAGTATTTGGCTCCATCTTCTGCAGCTTTCCAAGGAGCATTAGCAAGGAGCTGAATCAAAAATCGAGTACTCATATGGGATGTCAGTGTCATAGACAGTAGCTTAACCCACTGTGCTACAACACCAACCCTAACATTTCATCCTTAAGAAAAAGCCTGACCACTGGATTTATGGTGAGTTTTTATAGCAGCTAATAGGAAATTCATGATATTTTGTATTCCATGATGATTATATAACTAACTGTTCAGTTTCTCAATGTATCCATCTATAAAAGGAAACTAATTGTAGATAAAAGCAGTTTCAGGATACAAAACTACATATTTGCAATTTCTGTTTTAGCTTTTGAGATTCTAAAATGTGAACACTGTTAATTTCCTTGAAAACACATACGGCATAGTATTTGAGAGTCAAGGCTTCAGAGTCACATAAAGTAGATTTGAGTCCTGGCTCTGCCAATTCCTAGCTGTGTAATCTTGGGAAAGTTACTTAGTCTTCATAAACCTCAATTTCCTCATCTACAAAATGGAGATAATTATAGATAATTATACTAGTAATCACAACCCTGTCTGTTAGCATGAAAGCAATATTACCTGGGAAGCCTTGAGTCACCAAGTCATCTGAATGCCTGTGGTCCTTAAGAATAATATATTTAAGCCCTACTACTCAACATGATAGAATTGGGAAATAAGGTCTTCAGGAGCTATTTAGGTCATGAGGGCTGGGTCCCCATGAATTAAAGCCCTTAAAAAGAGGCCCAAAGGAGATGCTATCCATGCCTCATGCACCACATGAAGACCACAACATCCATGAACACAAAAGCTGCCCTGTCCAGAAAATATATCTGCTGGCACCAAGACCTTGGACTTCCCAGACTCCAAAAATGAGAAAATTCAGTTTCTCTTTGTTTCTAGGATACCCAGCCTCTGTTCTTTTGTTATAGCAGCCTTACTGGACTAAAATAGACACAGTATTTTTAAAATGGGAAGCAGTCAATGAATGATAGCAGCTACTAGTCACCACTATGTTGGATCCTGCCCATGAGACTTACACTCCAAAACTACTGTCAGTGTTGCAACTATTTGTTCTAAAGAAAAAAACAATGCCATACCCACTTTTGAAAGCTTTTGGCAAATGTAATGCTATTAAAAATTCTGATGCAGGGTCGGTGCTGTAGTGTAGAGTGTAAAGCCATGCCAGCCTCCCATATGGGTGCCAGTTTGAGTCCTGGCTGCTCCATTTCCAATACAGCTCCCTGCTAATGCACCTGGGAAGGCAGCACAAGACAGCCCAAGTATTTGGGCCTCTGTACCCATGTGGGATATATGGAAAAAGGTCCTGGCTCCTGGCTTCGGACTGGACCAGCTCTAGCTTTCCAGCCACTTGAGGAGTAAACCAGTGGATGGAAGATCTTCTCTATCTTTCCCTCTCTCTAACTTTGCCTTTCAAATAAATAAATAAATCTTAAAAAAAAATTCTGAATTCTGAAATGACTGAACACCAAGAGGGAAACCTGTTGGAGTGAGGTGGACACTATGGGAAATGGTGGCTTGATCAGCATAGCCCTGACTGTTAATGAACAACTAAATACATTATCCCTCTTAGTAGTTTTTTTTATCTGTTCTACTTAATATGACTGGTTTAGATCTGTAATTGATGCACAGTTATTCTTAAGTGTTGAAAATTAACTGAAATGTGATCCCTGTTGAACATGGTGGTGGGAATGGGAGAGGGAAGAGATGTATAATTTGGGACATGCTCAGGCTGACTTGCCCCAAGTGGTGGAGTTGGAAGCACACCAGGGGATTCCAATTCAATCCCATCGAGGTGGCATGTACCAATGCCATCTCACTGTTCCAGGTGATCAGTTTCAGTTCACAGTTGGTCATGGTGAAGGGACTGGGAGTCAAAGGGAGCACATAGACAAGTCTAGTACCTGCTAACGCTAACTGATGGAGTAAATAAAGGGGAGAGTGATCCAACATGGGAAGTGAGAATCTCAGCAGACTCATAGAATGGCAGATGTCCTAAATAGCACTCTGGCCTCAGAATCAGCCCTAAAGGCATTCGGATCTGGCTGAAAAGCCCATGAGAGTATTTCAGGCATGGAAAGCCAAGGCACTCTGGCAAAAAGATCTCTGCGAGTGAGATCCCAGTGGAAAGAACAGGCCATCAAAGAAGGAGGTACCTTTCTCTGAAGGGAGGAGAGAACCTCCACTTTGACTATGACCTTGTCTAAACAAGATAAGAATCGGAGAACTCAGAGGGCTTCCATAGCCTTGGAAACTCATGACTGGAGCATAGGGAGATTACTGATGCCATAGACAGGAGTGTCAATTGGTAAAGTCAACAACAGGAGTCACTGTGCACTTACTCCTCATGTAGGATCTCTATCCTTAATGTGCTGTACATTGAGATTTAATGCTATAACGAGTACTCAAACAATATATTTCACTTTGTGTTTCTATGGGGGTGCAAACTGTTGAAATCCTTACTTAATGCATACTAAACTGATCCTCTATAAAAAAAAAAAAAAAGAAATTATCAATTTATCAATTCCCAACTTGACTCTCACTGGGATTAAACATGACAATAGGTCTGCTCTGATTTCATCATCATTTTAAAAAATCATCTATTATTTTTCACTTTATGTTTCTGTGTGGGAGCAAACTGTTGAAATCCATACTTAATGTATACTAAGCTGATCTTCTGTATATTAAGATAATCGAAAATGAATCTTGATGTGAATGGAAGGGGAGAGGGAGTGGGAAAGGGGAGGGTTGTGGGTGGGAGGGACGGTATGGGGGGAAAGCCATTGTAATCCATAAGTCGTACTTTGGAAATTTATATGCATTAAATAAAAGTTTAAAAAAAAAATTCTGATGCTATAGAAACTTGGGTTATAATTTGTGAGTGCTGAGATTGCTACAGTACTACCAATAATATGGTATTAGTAACTTTTTATTGTGCTTTTATTTATGATCTCATAAATAAAATAAATTTAGCAAAGCCCTAAAGCAACGCACAGTGCCCTTTGGTATTTGGTATTTTCTACATCTTTCTAAAGAACATAGACAGTAGGATGAAAATCATACACATAACTACCAAGAAATGTGGGTTCTAAACCAATTTTGCTGCTATTTAACTGCAAGACATAGAATCATCTGTTCATCAAAGCTCTTCAGTTTCTTGTCTGCTAAATAATAATTTGGAATGTAAGTTTTTCTGTAAAAAGTACAGGCTCTAGAGGGAGGAGGGAAGGGGAAGTTACTGTTTAATGGGTATAGTGTTTCAGTTTGAGGTGATGAGAGGGTGGTAGAAGTGGATAGTGGTGATAGTGATCTTAGTTGTACAGCAATGTGAATATATGTAATGCAGCTGAACAGTATTCTTAAAGACAGTGAAAACTGTGAGCTTTATGTGTTTTCCTTCAATAAAAAATTTACACATTTTGTATTTGTGCTCTAGAATCCTCACTGATTTATTCAGCCAGGCAGCCATTGATACAAGTAAGTGCTAATTATGAGGTAAGCACTGTGGTGATAGGAAAAAGATCTAGAGCTGAGTCTAGGATAGACAGTATCCAACTAAGAGCTGTAAACTTTAAAGGTTTCAAAAGCAGGAGTTTCTAGTATCTGAGATAGTCAGAAAAACCTTCCTAAAACCTATCCCTAAAGAGATGATCTTTGAGCAGAGTCTTAAAAAACAGCAAGTATTCATCATGAGGATGACATCATGACTACACTCTTCCCTCTCCTGTACTTATGTACTAATTGTCATGAATAGAGATGAACAATTCTCCAAGGAAAAACAAAACAAAACAACAACAACAACAAAACACTGAAAACACCTCTTAAATACGCCAGGATAAAAAGGTTAAAAGTCCAAGCACAGCAATCTACTTCTTTCTAAATTATCACCAAAGGGAAGAACAGCCTAATATTAATCCCTAGGCAAACCACACCAACACTAGAATCTCAACAAAAGCTAAACTTATGTGGGTTTTCATAGCTAACTTATATAGTGTGTCAGGATGGCCAAGCGGTCTAAGGTGCCAGACTCATAACCACCTTATTAAATAGTTATTAAGGGGAAGGCCTTTATAAGACTGTCACTTATTGAAACAGTAGAAGGATATTAAAATGGATCTTACTATAGCACTAAAACAAGGTATTATTTGAGCAATTAACTTGGAGAAACCAAAGGACTCATTTAGGGCACTATTAAATGAGTTACTGTACTGCAATGAGGCTTTTTTACCTCCCAAAATGAAAAAGGAAATCTTAAACTGGTTTTATAATAAAGCACTACCAAAAATGAATAAATGCAAGACTTATAATCATTTGGCAATGACTACTACCAACAATTATTCATGTCTTATTTGTTGCTTTATAATGAGATCATTTAACAGATAAGATGTGAGGGGAAAAAGCACTTACCCTCCAATGTTCACAGGCTGATGACCTATGTGGGGAGCAACTCGGACTAGACTAAGTTACTGGAATTGGGACTTATTCTATGCATCTGCTCTCCCACAATATGGCGCTGAGAAGGGAGTAAGAACTTCTATACAGCTGCCTCCAGTTCAACCAATAAACTGTAGGACTTGCTCCTGATTGGAGGAGAGCAGCGTACTCGGCGTGTGGGTAGCAGAGTTGGGATTGGTGGAGGAGGACTATAAAGGAGGAGAGAGACGGCATGCACCGGGAACATCTAAGGGGAACATCTAAGGGGAACATCTAAGGGGAACACCTGTGCAGCCCCCGAGAGAGCCGGCCGGCGGTGTGCCGCTCCCCTGCGGAAGTGGGGAAAGTGGCCAGGGGGAACCGCCCTTCCACGGAGGTGGAAGGGACGGCAGCCAACCCGGGAAGAACCAGCAGCAAACCCGGGAAGGGCCGAGCAGACGAAAGAACAGCGCAGGGTCCTGTGTCGTTCCTCCACGAAGACGGGGAGCGACATAATGGTGCCGTGACTCGGATTGGAAACCTAGAACGGATAGAAAACTTAGGAGGGAAGAAACGGGAAGAAATGGGAAAATACCGGAGAGAGAGAGACTAGCAAACAGCCTAGGGAAAAGCCGGACGAAAAAGGTGCCGGAAGAAGCTATTGAAAGCCTAGGCATAGACTCAGATACGGACTACAGGGGGAAGCTGGGAGAAATCTCTAAGGTCGAAAGCGAAAGTGAAAGCTAGAACAAACAGACTCGGATGCGGACTGTGGGGAGAGGCCAGGAGAAATGAGGGAGGAGTATTGTTGGAGGAAAGCTTGGGGAAACATACCGGGTAGAGAAAAATGTTAGGGAAATTGAAGTTAGGGGGCAGGCCGAGGCGGAGACAAAAGCCACTTTTGGGATTCTCAAGTTAGCCCGGGAATGGGGGGCGAAGAGTTGAAACCAGAAGCGGAAACGTAAGCCAGGTTGGGATCCGTCTGATTAGCCCGGGGAGCAAAGGACGGGAAGCCAGATCGTGGGGCGGAAACGTGAGCTGGGTTGAATTCGCCAGGTTAGCCCGGGGAACTTAGATTGAATACTAGTGGCGGAGACGTGAGCTGGGGCTGTGTGACTCGCGGAAGCCGCCGCGTGCAGAAAGAGCACGGGGCGTGAATGGGGCGGCGAGGCGCCGGGAAGCCGCGCAGAGCCGTGAAGCAGCCTCGGGGCGGGCGCCGGGAAGCCGCAGGGATAAGAGAAACAGAAGTTTAGAAGTAAAATGAGAGAAATAGGAATGTTGGCAGACAGAAGTAAAATGGGAGAAATAGGAATGCCCGGAGATAGAGAAATAGAGAAATAGAAAGGCCTCCCCACAATACTGCAATGAGAAGGCTTGGATTCAGTCTGCCTGATTAGTGAGGCGATGAGCACCTGCGGGCGGCTAGCAGCTTATGCGCCGAAGGTCACCGAAGACAGGCACGTTATCAACACCAATAAGTCACCCCACAACATGGCAATGAGAGAGCTTGGATTCGGTCTGCCTGATTAGGGCGGTAAGCACCAACAGGCAGCTCGACCAGAGTATGAGCTGCAGGTCACCGAAGAGAGGCACGGATCAATACCAATAGGCCTCCCCACAATATGGCAATGAGAAGGCTTGGATTCGGTCTGCCTGATTAGTAAGGCGGTAAGCACCAGCAGGCGGCTCGACCAGAGTATGAGCCGCAGGTCACCGAAGACAGGCACGCATCAGCGCCTAAAAACCTCCTCACAACATGGCGAAGAGAGGACCCGGATTCGGTTTGCCTGATTGATAGGACTTGTAAGAACCTGTGGCAACTCTAGCAAGTAGAGCAGAGTGTGTGCCGCGGGACACCGAAGACAGGCGCGTATCAACGCCAAAAAATAAAAAGAAAGGGGGATCTGTGGGGAGCAACTCGGACTAGACTAAGTTACTGGAATTGGGACTTATTCTATGCATCTGCTCTCCCACAATATGGCGCTGAGAAGGGAGTAAGAACTTCTATACAGCTGCCTCCAGTTCAACCAATAAACTGTAGGACTTGCTCCTGATTGGAGGAGAGCAGCGTACTCGGCGTGTGGGTAGCAGAGTTGGGATTGGTGGAGGAGGACTATAAAGGAGGAGAGAGACGGCATGCACCGGGAACATCTAAGGGGAACATCTAAGGGGAACATCTAAGGGGAACACCTGTGCAGCCCCCGAGAGAGCCAGCCGGCGGTGTGCCGCTCCCCTGCGGAAGTGGGGAAAGTGGCCAGGGGGAACCGCCCTTCCACGGAGGTGGAAGGGACGGCAGCCAACCCGGGAAGAACCAGCAGCAAACCCGGGAAGGGCCGAGCAGACGAAAGAACAGCGCAGGGTCCTGTGTCGTTCCTCCACGAAGACGGGGAGCGACAACCTATACTAAGAACTGTGTTAATTCATACCCTCCATTACATAGCTCAGGTCAAGATTACACAGGATCATACAAATAAAAATGCAATCAGAAGTGATCATGCACTATACACCCTTCATTTATCACAAGATGGGAAAAAGCCCAGAATGGTACATCCTCAGCCTATAACACTGTTCTTACTCAGTGTATTGACTGTTTGTAATTTTCCATAAGTAGCCTATGCCATTTGTTTCTGTAGTGGGCAGAGGAGGGGGAAGAAATACAAAACTTAGGGCAATTAACACTAACAGGAAACAAATATTCAGGGAACCAAGGTGCATGCACGTGTTCTGCCACAAAAGAAAACAGTGCCATTGAGAAAGTAATCATTCAACCACGTTTGCTCTACTTGGGCACTTTTGAAATAGTAAGGACCCATGTATACATTTAAGTAAATTTTGTTTATACAAACAAAATCTCAATACACAGAGGCCAAAAAAGGGGAAGAGGGGACTGCCTCAAAGATGAAATCAGAGCCTCAAGCCCTGCCCAACTAATACTCTCATCCTCTCCTGTAGGGCCCCCAAAATATCATCACAGAATATAATGATTTTTTTAAGAATTATAATTATTTCATAAATGGAAGAGTATGTTGGAAGCACAAAAGCAAGGAGGACAAACTACCAAAATGAATTAATATATCTTTGCTTTATGAAACTATTATTGGGTTAGAAAAGTCACTAAAGGCCAGTACATTGGAAAATCAGTCCAGAACATCTCTCAGGGCTATTAAAGTTATAAAGTTACACAAATTCTACATCTTTGGACTTTGCATCCTGAGAGAATTAACTTCAAAATGAATTTTCTGATAGAACAAGACCACTTTAGGTATCCAACAACCTATTTCCCAAAACCACTATATGCTAAATAACTAAAGTAGACTAGGGTCTTCAAATGCAAAAGCAAAAAAAAAAAAAAAAATTTGTTGAAGTTAAAATCTTCAGTGTCTACAAAATTTTAACCTCAAAATATATAACACTATACTTATTTTAATAACTTTTCCCACATAAAAGCATTAGAACTATAAGAATCATCTATAATATATTCAAAGCAGCTTTACATTTTCCAGTGTGTCAGTACTTGTTTCCTACTTTTTATTGCTTCACAGTCAATATATAAGTGTCATGAACCTTATATTTTCATTTAAGAAATCCTACTTTCTTTTCAAAAGCACCTTTGTACTGACGTATTTCTGAGGACTGTCTGCTCAATTTTCAGCACAACTGTTCATTTTTCTTACAATTCTGGAACATCCTTCTGGTCAGCAGAGATTAGTAAAAGTACTTGTGACCATCAAATCAAGAGGAAGTCTAGCTGCACAACAAGGTGAAGCTATATTTTCAGGATTATGCAACCTTATTGAACCCAAAAAGCAATGTAGCCCGCTGATCATTCCTGCAACTACTTTTCTAGATTTCATTGAAAAATTTTAAGATATGAGAATACACAATATCCTGTTAAAGCAATTCTATTGTGCATTCAAATACTTCTCAGCTAAACAAAGTTTGCTATGCAAACCGGCACCCCGGGTTCCAGTCCTGGTTGGAGCACCAGATTCTGTCCCAGTTGCTCCTCTACTAGTCCAGCTCTCTGTTGTAGCCTGGGAAGGCAGTGGAGGATGGCCCAAGTGCTTGGGCCCTGCACCTGCATGGGAGACCAGGAGGAAGCACCTGGCTCCTGGCTCCTGGCTTCAGATCGGCGCAGCGTGCCGGCCGTAGCGGCCATTTGAGGGGTGAACCAATGGAAAAGGAAGACCTTTTTCTCTGTCTCTCTCTAACCCTGCCTGTCAAAAATAAATAAATAAATAAATAAAAGAAATACTCTTGATGTGCCAGGGAAGAAACAACCAGTAAGCATCATTTCTAAAACTGAAAACTCACATCATAATTAAATTCTCTTCTTTGGGAAATAAGGATAATTCCATTAATTTTCATTCAAACATTTTTCCCCAACATCTTTTAAAACATTCTGTCCTCTAGAGTCCACATGAGGTTTGCTATATGAAGCACAAAACAACGTAAAAGACTCTTTCCGTTTCCACGGCCAATTCCTTAAAACAGCTATAAGGAGGTAAGACTACATTTGCTCACGTAATAATTCTGCAAATATTCATTCCTTTTACCATTGAGACACTTTTCATATATCTTGTAGGTTCAGGGATTAAAAGGATGTTCTATATTGAATCTGACCACACTGCCTCAGAAGGCAACATCCACAAGTCATACAATTATCATGTTTAAATAAGAAAATTCAAGAGAACACAAGTTCACTCTAAAAATAATATATTTGTTATCAAAAGAATACACACTAGTAGGAAAGCTGATCATTCACAAAGAATATTTTTGGTAGATATCACTGAACTTTGGGCTATAACCCTCATAAGTCTCTCCAAATAAGAAATGCTTGGTCTATTTCTAAAGGACACTAGAGAAGCCAGGAGAGCCTTCATCATCTGTCACTATTATTTGAAAAGAAGCTGGATGTAGAAAAGCTGATTCAATCTAATTATTTGGGCTCCATCAGTTAGCCTGCACCTGTCCCTGCTGCCAGTCCTCAATGTCTTGAGAAATGTTTGAGTTGTAGCTCCAAATCGGCCGCTCAGCCCTTTGGTCATAGCACTATTACTAGAGTATCACCATCTCTGAGTTCTCAGGGCTCTAAGATAGAAGTTAACTCACCTGTTTGGTGCAATAAGAAAACAGCCTCGATGTAAGGCTCCTGGCTGAGCAGCAAAGATAAGTAAGCAACAAGAACTCATCTTGTTCCCAATATCATCCTCAGCAGTTAGACAGTTAGTCCCTTTCCTGAGTTCTCAGGAAACACACACACAGGACAGATGTGGGAGGGAGAAGGCGAGTGGAGGGAGGGGATTGTCTTACTAAACATTTAATGATAGAAATCAGCCCCAGTGGAACACCTAACTCTGACAGCCTTTACAGTTTTTGATTTATTTTCCAACAACACAGTACTAAAATCAAACATCTACACCAATTTATAAGGGAATAAAAGGAGAGGGATCTGGAAGGTAAGCCCAAGGGTGACAGTAATTTCTGAAAGCTTAAGCCACTATAAAGGTCAAACATTCAGCATCAGTAAGTACAAAAAGTAAAGCATATTTCTAATTCAACTGTCCCTTGGTATCCATAAGAGATTAGTTCCTGGACCCCCAAAGATACCAAAATGCACAGATGCTCTAGACTGTTTCACATAAATGGTACAGAATTTGCATATAACCTATGCATGTCCTCCATATGCTTTTTTTTAAAGATTTATTTATGTGAAAGGCAAAATTAGAGAGAGAAAAGGAAAGAGAAAGAGAAAAAGAAAGAGAGAGAGAGTGGGAGGGAGGGGAGAGGGAGGGGGCTGGCACTGTGGCACAACAGTTTACACTGCCATATGGAATGCCTGCATCACATATGGGCACTGGTTAGAGACCTGGCAGCTCCCTTCTAAAGTGCCTGGGAAAGCACTGGAAGAGGGTCCAAGTCCCTGGACCTTTGAACCATCAGAGAGATCTGAAAGAAGGTCCTAGCTCCTTGATTTGGCCTGGCCCAGACCTGGCTGTTGTGGTCATTTGGGGAGTGAACCAGTGGATAGAAGATCTCTCTCCTCTGTCTCTCCCTCTTTCTCTCTTTTAACTCTTTCAAATAAATAAATAATTCTTTAAATAAAGAAATAAATAAATCAGAGACAGAAGGGGGGTGGGGTATAGAGAGGAATATCAAGATCTTCCATCCTCTGGTTCACTCCCCAAACAGCTGCAATGGCCATGGTTGGGCCAAGCTGAAGCCAGGAGCTTCATCCGGGTCTCCCACAAGTACATTAGCAGGGAGCTGGATAGGAAGTAGAGCAGCTATGATAAGAATCGCTGTTCATATGGCATGCCAGATTCACGGATAGTGGCTTAACCTGCTGTGCCACAATACTGGCCCAAACTCCCAGTGACTTTAAGTCAGCTATATAGGCCAGCAAAATTATTTGATCTGGCCTTGTCAAGGCAGGACTCAAAATTCAGTAACTCTGTTGTAGGTTAATTTTTAAGTTGATAATTTTGTATGGCCCCTGAATGATGTTATAAATATCCAAACAGCCCTTGGCAGAAAAAAAAGGTCCCTCACTACTATATCGTTACTAGATTGCTTAGAGAGCTAACAACATAAATTCTATACTGATAGTTGTTCAAAATGTATAATTTTGGGAACAGTGACATCAAGGAAGGCTTTCAGTAGAAATTCAACCACTGCAGGCCTAGCTATACTTCTGATCTGCAGTTGACTGAATCCACAGATATGGATACACAGGACACAGACAGCCAACTGTACATACAGATATGCACAAAAAAAAACACAAAAGAAATACAATAACAGGGCTCTCTTTTGGCTCTGGATTACATTTCTCATTTTACATTTTTATGTGTGGAAATCAAGTTCTTAGTGAAACAAAATATGTTTATTTTTATACTGAACATGCAATATTCATAAGTATCCAATGCTTTTTATTAGACTTAAGATTTTCTTCCTAAATTTAACATTCTCCCACTATAGCCCTTAGATTTTCATTTCTCTGCCATGGTAATTCACATCTCCATTTTAAAAGCATAGGCAGAAATCACTATCTGATTTAGCAGTCAAGCTGCACATACCAGTGCTCTTGTTTTCAGGCATCTTTGAAGACACAGTCATATTTAATGCAGAATATAAGCAGTCTTTTCATCTTATGCCTTAGAGTAATTGCTTCCCACTCCCAGTACTATACCATGACTTGCTCTCTAAGTGCTGTGGCCAGCATGGGGGGGGGGGGGGGGATGACTAAAACATCTTGAGTTAACTCAATGGAGTCAGACTTTTGCTAATTGCCAGGAAGAAATAATGACTAGTCAGGTACAGGCACAATGAGATATACCATGAGAAATGACACAGGTTACCCAGCCCCGGTTCTAGGAAACCATTTCTAGTAAATGCTCTCCGTATATGGAAGCTGAACTCAGTGTCAAACATAACCAGATAAAAATCACAGCTGCATATGGATGATATCTATGATTGTGCATACATACATATATATTTATATATATGAGAGTAATTGTACTTGTTGGCTTAAAATTATTGTTTAACTATAAGGGGAATAGAAGGTAGGAGCAGTAGGGCAAAGCCCAATGAACAAACTCTCTTAGGCATTTTTCATTTGCACGACAGACAACCCAATCAAATATAAATTAACAGACTACATGAGCTTAAATCCAACTAAAAAACATAAATACACATAAAATATACATTGAAAAGTAGATTTAAAACCCACTGTAACATTACAGACATTAATACATTAGAGACATTATTATTAAAATATGAATGCATCTTGCCAATTTCTCCTTAATAGAGTTTGTAAAAAGTAAGTATATATCGGCACACACACACACACTCAAACTCACGCCCACAAGCACAGAAACTCTTACCTTTGCTTGTCTCTTGTTGGCTTCTCTTCTGGCTTCTCTTTCTTTCAGTCTTTTCTCCTATGGGATAAGGGAGAAATTAGCAACATATAAATTTTCAGTAGATTGTAAAAAGAAAACACACTGACTGGTTTTATTTTTATGATATGACATTCATTTTTCTATAAATTTTTCCATAAATATTTACTGAATCTCCTCTATGAGATCCATATAGTAATTCATAATCATTAAGTGTGTGTCAGGTCCGGAATCAAATACCAGCTCTACCACTTACTGGCAATGTATTTTTGAGCTACTTATACCTTCTAATTCACTTTGTCAACCTAAAATGGAAACAACAGAAGAACACATTTCATGAAATTTATGTCAAATTATACAAAATAACCTAAGTGACTTGCACAGAATCTGATATGACTGGTATACATTCAATATCACCTTTTAGAAAAAAAAAAGAAAATAAAAACAGAGTAATAACTATTTTCCTTATCCTATTTGAAAGCAGAATTTATTAAGAATATAAAATCTTCACCCTGGGGGTTCCTGGCAAAGTGGCAAAGTTTTTGCACACACAAAAAACATGTTATTGTGTTAAATTAGTTTCTAATTGGGGCCGGTGTTTTGGCATAGTGAGTAAACTTGCCGGCGACACCAGCATGCCGTATGGGCATCAGTTCATGTTGCAGCTGATCCAGTTCTGGTATACCTCCCTGCTAATGGCCTGAGAAAAGCAGTGGAAGATGGCTCAAATATCTGGGCCACTGACACCCATGTGGGAGACCCTGATGAAGTTCCTAGCTTTGGCCTGGCCCAGCATGTGCCATTGTAGCCATCTCGGGGAGTGAATCAGTGGATGAAAGATTCCACCCCCACCCCCTATAACTCTTTGAAATAAGAAATAAACTTCCCAATTAGTTTTTATTAATCACAAAATCCATCAAGATTTTTGAAATAAGAAAAATATGTATAACGTTAAAATTCAAAACAGAATGACCCAGCTAATATGGAAAGGAATGCTATCTTAAATTTTAAAGCCTATTTCTTTTGCCAAAAATAAAGTGTTAACAATAAAAAGCCTTATGGGGCCAGCATTGTGGTGCAGTGGGTTGTCACCAGCTGCAAGGATGCTGGCATCCTATTTGGGAGAGCCAGTTTCAGTGGAGGCTGCTCCACTTCCAATTAAGCCCCTGCTATCGCACCTAGGAAAGCAACAGAAGATGGTTCAATTGCATGGGCCCCTGCCACTCACTAGAGTTCAGGGTCCCTGGCTTAGGCCTGTCCCAGCCCTGGCCATTGTGGTCATTTGGGAAGTGAACCAGCAGATGAAAGTTCAATCTCTCTCTCTTTTAATGTTTCTCCCTCTCTGTCAATCGGCCTTTCAAATAAACAAAAACAAGTCTAAAAAGGTGTTATTCTCAAAAGTATACTGGCAACAATTTACATTTTAGAAATTTTAATGATATTATACATCAACATAAAAAGTGAATAGCCAGCAAATAATTTTCATGAATATAAAAATAGCATCATGATTTACTATCATCTTAAGCCCAAAGCAACATAAGAATGAACACATTTCCTAAATCTGGGAACTTTCATTACCATGACACTCTATGTACACATCACCAACTCTACCACATACTCTGAATGCAGACTTTAGATAGAGCATTAAGAAGGGAACAAGAACAGCTACTACATAATTAGCTAGTTTACATAGACTCCTTTATGGGTAAAGTAAAAACATACATGTTAAAAGTCTGAAAGATTACACATTACTGTATGCATCCATAGTTTACATATTTCATTTCTATAGCTTCATAATGCACAATATGGAAGCTAAATCTAAGTAAAAGTAACAATTCACACAACCACTGTTTATGAGTCCCATCCCAAAAAATACACAATGTTAAATAATTCTGTTTCTATGATTATTTTGCCTTTTCTTCCCCAGCTTTGGAGAAAATAAGTATACTGACTTTCAAATAAAACATACAATAAAGCAGGTTAACACTTAAAACAATGTTTAATTATACAAAAGGAATATTCTAAGGATTACTTAGAAGTTCGAGAAAGCATGGTCAGGGGAAGAAAAAGGAAAGATGGAGAAACAAAAACTCACAAAGGTTTTGACTTGCTCACTGTCAAACAGCACAGTGAAAAAGAGACCAATCTCACACCAGGGCCTACATGTGCCCAATTTAGCACTTTTTCCAAGCACATTCTAATAAAATTACAATGTTAGGGTTGGAAGGTTAAGTATTAACAGATGTAATTTTAATAACAGTAGCCACTTCAAACTCTATTCCTGAACTGGTAATTCTAGTAAGACTGTAACAGATATTCCGCCAGTAAAATAAAAACAATCTCAAATTTCCTCAGTTTGTGGAAGAAAAAAAGAAGGTAATGGATGCCAGTTTCTAAACAATTTGTGGGGTCTGTGTGGTGGCAAAGCAGGTTAAGCTGCCACCTGCGATGTCAGCATCCCATATGACCTCCAGTCTGAATCCTGGCTGCTCCACTTTTGATCCAGCTGCCTGATAATGTGCCTAAGAAAGCAATGGAAGGTGGCCCACATTTTGGGATGGAGTTTCTAAATCCTGGCCTGGCCTACCTATGGCCTCTGTAGCCATTTGCGGAGTAAACCAGCAGATGGAAGACTTCTCTCAGCTATCCCTCTCACACTTGGGTCACATCACAACACCCTGTCTTTCAAATAAATTAAAAACAAAATCTTTAAAAACATGTCCAAATTTTTCATAAAGTTGGCATTATTTTCTTTGAGCATTAGCAGACTATAAAATGCATGAAAACAGCAAAATAATACTCAAGAAAAAATTGGGATAATTCATCAAAACGTTGCAAAGTTTGAGAACAAGCTTTGCCTTACGGATGGATGCATTTGCAATTTTATCTACTCTTTTTCTAAATACAGTAAGATAATTTATTTCTATTATCTACAAAAAAGTTTTCCTGCTTTAGATTCTAAAATTAAACATAGCTATATTTTGTTACCCTAAAAAAAAAAACAAAAAAGAATGATTTTCTGTATTTGCTGTGTAAATTAATTTTAAAACCATAGCTTTGGGGGGTGAATCAATGAAAGGAAGACCTTTCTGTCTCTCTCTCTCTCACTGTCTAACTCTGCCTGTCAAAAAAACACATAGCTATAAAATATTAAATAACTACAAAAAATAAAATTGCACTTATTATCACATGACTACTATTATTTTCTTACCAATAATAACAGCTCTGAATTACTACATATACATAATTGCTAGGCATTTCATGCATCATCTTGTTTTTCCTCTTCTTAAACCTATCTAACAGAACTTTTTAGGTATTGTTATTCCCATTTTATAGATAAATAATGGAAAATCAAACTAATTAAGTAACTTGGGTGTCCCTGGGACTAAACTGGGTCTGTGGAGCCATTGCTCTCCCTCTTCAATGCCAACACACAACACATTCCATATTCCTCCACACAATACTTAGTTTCATAGATCCATACTTAGTATATTTTTTAAAGATTTATTTATTTATTTATTTGCTTGAAAGGCAGAGTTATTGACAGGGTGGGAGAGAAGGAGAGGGAGAGAGAGAAAGAATCTTTCAACCTCTGGTTCATTCCCCAAATAGCCACAATGGCCAGGGCTGGGCCAAGCCAAAGCCAGAAGCCTGGAATTCCATCCAGGTCTCCCACATGGGTTCAGAGAACCAGAATTTGGGCCATCTTTCCTCCTTTCCCAGGCCCATTCATAGGGAACTAGATTGGAAGTGCAGCAGTTGGGACTTGAGCAGGCACTCATAAGGGGTGCCAACATCACAAGTGGTAGCTTAACGTACCAGGTCACAATGCCAGCCCTAATACCTAGTATTAGGCCTAGTATTAATATGTTGCCTGTTGCAGATGATTTCTCAACAACATTGCAGTGGATTCATTTCTGAGAGCAGGAGCATGGTGGGGGCAAGAGGCGCGGAGTCACCACACAGACCCTGGGAGTCAGGTGAAAGCAGGCCTGAGGCGAGCAGCCCGCAGTCTCGCTTATATGAGTTAGTACAACAGCTTATATAGCCAAGACCAGCCAATCCGGTCATGGGGCGGTCTATGCGCCAACCAATCACAGCCTGTTGCCAGGCAGTTTCCAAAGCCATCCAATCACAGCCTGCCATCAGTCAGGCTCTGTAGTCATGTGGTTTCCTCTGTTGTCATGTGGTTTCCAAAGCCATCCAATCACGGCCTGTTGCCAGGCAGTTTCTGAAACCATTCAATCACGGCCTGCCATCAGTCAGGCTCTGTAGTCATGTGGTTTCCTCTGTTGTCATGTGGTTTCCTCAGCCATCCAATCACCGCCTGTTGCCAGGCAGTTTCTGTTGTCAGTGGCCATCTTGGCATGACCTTTTCACCTCAGTGGCCATCTTGGCATGAACTTTTCACCTTATTCCACCACAGTTGTCAACAAATGATATTTTTTCTTTTATTATTGCTAATTGTCTGCTACAAGATGACTCTTTATCCTGACAGCTTTTTATGGACTTCAGTTAATTTTTGCCATCTCTTATACAGTTTTCATTAATCTGTTATCTGTACTGCATAACTTCATTGGGCAATAAAGGTGCCCTCTCTAAATTAATCTGTAACAAGGGTATTAACATAGGGAGAAAAAACTAACATGGAAAGACTGATTTATGAGTTAATTGCTTCAAATATTTATTGAGTTTATCACGTGCCAGGCCATATGGTGGACTCAGGTATGTATTAACAGACAAAACAGACAACAGCCTGTCCTCTCAAGGGCTTTGCAGACTCTGATCTAACCCTGCCAGATATTTCGATCCCACTAGGGACAAACCCTGCACACTACTCAAACCCAAAATTTAACCATTCACCATCAGTATAATAACCAACCCAGGTCTCAAAATCACATGAGGTTAAAAATTTTTTCCAAAAAACAAAGAATAAAAATAGACAGCTTCAAGACTTGCCACACTGCTGATAGATAAG